TCTCCCAGTATCTGGCCCCAAGTATCAATGACCAGCAGGACATACTGGCCACCTCCAGGGCACTTGTGTTTTGAAAGAGGTTCATGTTTGAATTCAAAACAAGCATTCAAAAGGGCGGTGTTGCCAGCAGGCTGTGTGTGTACGGGTGGTGGGCACTGCGAGCCCTGCCCAGTTCCCTTCCCAGCTGCTGCCCCCCAAACCCCCAGCGGATGGGAGTGTGGGCAGCAAGTGGCGCCCATCTGCATGCTTCTCCAGAGCCCTGTCCTCAGCTGAGGGGGCCTCCTTCAAGGAGGGTTCCCCTCCGCCACCACCCCCATTGGCAGCCAGCCAGTGGCTGACTAACAGGGGTAACCGAGGGCCAGCCCCTTGCCTCAGCTCTGGTGTAATGTATGCTCCAGAGTTTCCCACCTCGGGCCAAGGCTAGACCTGAGCTGAAGCCACATCCTCGCTCAGTCCCTTCCCCTTCCCTCATTCCCTCACAGTTCCTCCCACAGCCTCACTAGACCAGATGCTCCCCAATCTGTCTTGGGCTCTGTTTCCGGGGAACCCAACCCAAGACCACATGGGAGAGACATTGGGAGGAAAATAGGATGCCTTTTAAAAAAATCATCACTTAATTGAACATCCGGCCGGACATCTCGAACCCCAAACACCTCTCTGTGGTTCTGTTTACAGCTCTAATATGCAGAGTGTGGCCCACTGGGCTGCGTGCTTTCCCACAAGCTCAGCGCAGTCAGAAGAACCGTGGAGGGTAGGCCGGCGGGTGGTCCCACAGCTTGGCCCCCACCCCGAGCAGGAGTCTGGTTTAGCCCCAAAGGCAGTTTTGTCTGACGTTCCCCAGGCGCTGGGCCGGAGGCAACGTTGGGTGTTAAAGAAAGATTTAAAACAAGCTGGCATCACAGAGTCCTTGCATGTTTCCTGCTCAGTAGTCAGCCTTGTACATCTCAGATGGCTCAGGGCAGGCAGGCCAGCACTGCTGCACGCAGTGAGCTCACAGGCTCATCGGGCCTCGTGTGGCCACATCACTCAGAAGCTCCTCCACCCAACGGCACATCGTGGAATCTGATGAGCGTCGCACGGGGCGGGTGGCCCCCCTGCACTCACAGGCACTGGCTCCCAGAGACACCTGGGTCGGGCATTTTTAATCCAACCACCAATTCTAGCAAGACGAGGTTCTCCCTTCTCCACCCCACTCGCTCCCCCACCAGTAAAACACGAATGGAGCCCCTACTCTGTGCCTATCTGAGCTCTGGAAACAGTCTAGTTCAGGGGCCAGGGGGTCAGCGCATGACCTCTAAGGGATTATCATTTCCTAATTGCCTGAGAACAGCCTCAATGCGTTCCAACCACGTGGTTGTGAGAAGCAACACCCCAAATCATAAATGTCATCTGTTTGCCGATGAGGAAAGGGAGGCCCAGAGAGGGGGGTGTGCCTTGGCCTCGGTCCTGTCCCCCAGGCAGCCAGCGCTGTGACTCCTGCCACACAGACCTGCCCCCTGGGGTCCCGGTTGTGGGCTGTAAGGTTCTGACCTGGTTCTTCTGGGCGATCTTTTGTCCCTTCTTCCAGCGCAGCACGGGTGTCAGAGCCGGCAGCTCCCGCTCCTCCTCTCCGCTCACATGTGGCCCCAGGCTGTAGGCGGCTTCGAACACAATGGGGCTGATGACGTCCTGCACCCTCCGCTGCAACAATAAACACACACGCGCGTGAGCGGCGAAGCCGGCTGACATTTGCGGAGCGTTTCACGGTTTACAAAGGCCTTCCACGTGGCCTGCCCCTGGTGACCCTCACCACCGCCGCTGTGAGGTGGGGTTTCACTGTCTTCACATTTGTGATGAGGTCACTGCGGCCCAGAACAACGAAGGTCTTGTCCAGGGTCGCTCTGCTAATGAGCGGGGGCTCCTCCACTCTACCGTGCATGGCGCGCAGGCACCGTCTCTTGAGCATATGGAAGGCATTACCTTACTCATCTTCCAAACATCCCTGGAGCTGGCAGCATGGGCGGGCGGGGAGCATCTGCCCGCGCCCTGCAGCGCTCGCCCCTCGTGTCCCTGCTGTCTGGCTGATCAAAGCTCCTCTGAGTCGAGATAACTATGGATTCTGCCCAGAGCTAGTCCTCAATGGAGCTGGAAGAAAAGCCTGACTTCAGGCCTTGTGTTCTTTCCCTGGGAGCCCAAGGACTTTAGGAGCCAAGGGAATGCGAGGTTGATAGTCACGTAAGGAAAGCAGAGGCAGGGAAGGGAGGAAAGCAGACATATAGTGGACACCTATGAGAGGCCAAGCACGGTGCTGGGTGTTCTAGAATGATGAGCGACACGCTCAAACCCCTGTGAGCTAGGGCTCATGATCCTCCATCTATACTAATAAAAGGGTAATATGCTAATTAGACCAGACATCTTCTGGATGTCCTTCCAGACAAAGCCACGGTGGCGGGGCCGAGGCAGAGGCAGTTAGGGGTGATCAGACCAGCAGGGGAGCAGTTAGGGGCATCAGGCAGGCAGGTGAGCCGTTAGGAACCAGCGGTCCCGGATTGTGAGAGGGATGTCTGACTGCCGGTTTAGGCCCGACCTAAACCAGCAGTCAGACATCTCCCGAGGGGTCCCAGATTGGAGAGAGTACAGGCTGGGCTGAGGGACACCCCCCGTGCACAAATTTTGTGCACTAGGCCTCTAGTGGTACAATAAAAGGGAAATAAAGGTGCAAGGCTAGGTGCCCAGGGCCCAAGGCTAACAGGGGTTTTGAATCACAGCTGTTGAACCCTGGAGTTCCTGGCCTTTCTGTACAAGGTGTCCCTGTCTCCCACGGACTGAGTGCCCCCAGGCTCCCAAGTTAGAGTCCAAGGAGGAGGAAAGGGTAGGAGTCCTACTTTCTGGGCCAGGATGCTCTGTGGGAGGCAGGTGTCCAGGTGGAGCAGAGCAAGTCTGAGCAGGGCACCAAGAAGCCGAGTCCCCATTGTTCGTCACTCACGGGAGAGACGGGGGGTGGGGAGTGGCCCACTCAGGGTGTGAGAGGAGACCTGAGCTAGTAGGTGAGGGAATCGGACTGATTCTTAAAACCTGAAGCTGAACAACTTGCCCTAGCTGGTGTTGCTCAGCGGTTAGAGTGTCGCTCACCCACCAAAGGGTTGCAGGTTTGATTCCCAGGCAAGGGTATGTACCTGGGTTGTAGGTTCGACCCCCACCTTGGTCGGGGTATGTATGGGAGGCAAACAATCCATGTGTCTCTCTCACATCCATGTTTCTCTCTATGCCCCTCCCTCCCTTCCACTCTCAAAAAAAAAATCAATGGAAAAAATATCCTCAGGTGAGAATTAGCAACAAAAACAAAAACACACAACTTTCCTTGAAGTCCACAGAATATTATTTTAAAACTAGAGGCCCGGTGCATGAAATTCATGCATAGGGGTGGTGGGGTCCCTCAGCCCAGCCTGCACCCTCTCACAATCCGGGACCCCTCGAGGGATGTCTGACTGCTAGTTTAGGGCAATTGGGCCTAAACTAGCAGTTGGATATCCCTCTTACGATCTGGGATTGCTTCGCCCAGGCCGGCTGCCAGCACCGGGGACCCTGGGCAGCTTCTCTCAGGCCCTGGCTTTGTCAGAAAGGACGTTCGGAATGATGTCCGGTCGAATTAGCATACTACCCTTTTATTAGTATAGATGATCCAACCACTCTAGTTTCTAACATTACCCTAATGTTTCTAACGTGCCGCCACTCCAGCCACTCCAGCCACGCCTGCCGCGAGGGAGACTCCAGGCAGGGCTGGCTCATTTGGAATGAGTTCTGACATCCGGGGCTGGGGAGGCTGTGCTCTGGCTCTGATCTCACGAACCTGTTTTAACTAAGAGTCTGAAAAACAGCTTCTTATTACACGTCCCAGTAGCTCTGGCAGAAGGGATGCAAACCGCACGGGGCCCCGGGCGGAGGCGAAGTGGGGGCAGCAATTAGAAACAAGCCAACGCCCCACAGGACAGCCCACCTCCCAGCTACCAAGGAAAAGCAGCGGCCACAGCTCGTGGTTTCCTCCCCATTTCGGGACGGGCAGCTTCCCCGGGCTCGGCACTGCAATTAAGCGGGGGAACTCCCGAGGGGAGAAGGAGCTTGGGGTTCTGGCACAGACTGTAATTGCTGAAATTTTACTGCTAGGGGAAAAAAATCACCACTACAAACTGAAGCTTCTAACGTCGAATACAACTTCTCCCGGCAGGCTGAGAGGCCACGGGAGCTCCTGGTTTGCGAACTGAAGGGCCCGGCCTGAGAGCTCGCAGCTGGCGGCTGGGTCTGCGGCGGCCGAGGTTGTACAGGGAACTTCACATATGCTCCTCGTGAGCTTTACTGGGTGCTCACTCTATGCCAGGCAGCGGGCGGGGCCCGAGGGACACAGAGACGGAGGGCTTTCAGGAGAAACAGGCGAGCAGTGACAATCCAGTGCCACATGCACAAGGGCAGGGCGGCTTTGGGGACACAAAGGAGGGACACCTGATCTGGATGGAGGGTTGGCAGGCTTCCCAGGGGAGGTGTTCCGGGCTCGGTTATATGACAGGAGGCTATTAGAGAGCAGGCGGGAGGCATAGGAGGGTCTCGCAGGGTAGAAGTGGCCTGCGGTGTCCAGGAGTTTGCATGTGGTCCCCAAAGGGGGGAACGTTGGGCTTGTGGGCAGGAGTGAGGGGAGAGGAGGCTGAAGCAGAGACCAGATCTCAGGGGACGTACAGGTTGGAGTCACCTGGCTGAAGGCAACCCAGGTGAAGTTCCTCTGGAGGGTCAACCACCTCTCACCGCCCCCCTCATACACACACCTGTCATCCTGGGCCCTCACCTGAGTGCTGTGTGCTGTGGTGTCCTGGCTGCTGCTGCCACCCACCCCTCTTGCAGACCAGGGAACCTTGACGGGTGGGTATGAGCAGCATCAAATCACAAGGCCCCGCCACCTGCCCACAGGGAGCTCCGCACGGCTATTGGAGGGAAACGCCCAGGAAGACGAGATGCCAACCCTCACTGCGCAACCCTGACTAAGCAGCACCCGAGCGCCGCGGGTCCCGACCAGCCCCGTGAACGAGAACCTGCCTCCCAGCCGCTCTTCTCCAAGAAACGAAGGGTTTTCATCCTCCTGAGCTAACTGAGCAACTACAGCGGGAACCAGATGCAAACAGGAAGGGGCTGACCTCACTTTAAGTGGGCAAGTCACACAGAAGGCCAGCAAGTAAGCCACTGGCATTAAGCCAGATTGTTGGTTTGGAGAAACACACACACACACACAAACCCACCTCTAAGTGTTTGTTTGGTTTGTTTTTTTAAAGAGGCCTCAGTATTTTTTCGTTTTCCAAACGTGATTTGTTTGTGTGTGTGTGTGTGTGTGTGTGTGTGTGTGTCCCTTCCATCCTGTATCATTGCTCACTATTTCTCCGCTCTCCACACCCACCTCTATTTCTCCTCCGATCACCTTGCTGGCACGCCTAAAAATGAGACATCTTCAGAAGTGACATGCCTTTTCCTTTCTCTCTATGGCCAGAGTGATTAGAATGGCGGTTAAAATGTTACAGACGCATTTAAAATTCCCATAAGTTTGAAGATTTGTTAAGAACAAACGGAGGAGTCTGCATTTCTAGCACTGAAAGAACAACACTGAAGATCGACGCTCTCAGAACGACCAGGAAAGCTGGCGTGCCCCCGATGTAATATACAGACGATGTATCATAGAAGTGTACACTTGAAACCTATATACAGTGGGGCCTTGACTTACGAGTGTCCCGACTAACGAGTTTTTCGAGATACAAGCAGTCTCTCGGCTGATTTTTTGCTTTGATTTGCGAGCTAAAATTCGGGTTACGAGCCAGCTTCAGATACCCCACCGCTAGTTGGCGCAGCGAACGTCACAGTGAACGCCACAACATCAGCCCAGCATTCAATTCATTGTAATGGTGAAAATTGATTTGACATATGAGTAATTTGAGTTACGAGCTTGGTCACGGAACGAATTAAACTCGTAAGTCAAGGCCCCACTGTAATTGTACTAACCAGTAAACTTAATTACAAAAATAAAAAAGTCTCGGAAGCTGGGCTACATCTCAGCATCGAAGAATACCTTTATTGTGAGAATGTTTCCCACCCTGGACCCCTCCCTGCCCGAACCCCTGCCATTCCATCGTGAGCAATGTGGGAAGTGAGGAAATGTGGAGCTCACGTGGGTGAGCCAGTTCCCTGGTGGTAACTGGCTGAGGGGCCGGATCTCAGCCCTGCCTTGCGCTCCCCATGTCTTGTGGACATCCTCTTGTCTGCAGGAGGGGTGGGTGGCAGCAGCGGCCAGGACACCACAGCACACAGCACTCAGGTGAGGGCCCAGGATGACAGGTGTGTGTATGGGGAGGGACGGGGGTGAGAGGTGGTTGACCCTCCAGAGGACCTTTACCTGGGTTGCCTTCAGCCAGGCATCATGTTAGGCAGAGGGAAGCAAAGAGGAGGGAGAGGTGCAGGCAGGAGGGTGTGAGCAAGAAGATGCAGAGGTGCCCATTCAAGAACGGAGGGACCTTGATGAGAGGGAATTGCTTCCGACCCACACGGGGCTAGGAGTGGAGTGTCAAGTCCCTGGATAGCAGGTGGCCCTGGGAGAACAACTAGAAGTTCCACAGGCTGATGGGGGGCTGGAATGAGGGCCGAGGTGAATAGACAACTGTTTGTCTGAGGAC